GAGGCTATGAGGGTCTGGATGGGGAACAACAGGCTTCAGCTGAACCCTGGCAAGACTGAGTTTTGTGTTTTGGGGCCTTCTGGTGCTAGAGCTATGTCATCTTTGGTACTAAATGGGGTTGCACTGGGGATCCCCCTGGACTCACGACTCCTGCTCAAAGAGCAGGTGGCAGTTGTGGCTAGGAGGGCCTTTGCACAGCTTCATGTTATGCGCCAGTTGTGCCCATTCCTAGATCAGAGGGACCTATTCACTGTCAATCATGCCCTTGTCACCTCCCTTTTGGATTTCTGTAATGTGCTCTACATGGGGCTGCCCTTGAAGAGTATCCGGAAGCTTCAGCTGGTGCAAAATGCAGCGGTGTGGGCAGTTATGTGTGTCCCTAGGGCGGTACATGTTACACCTTTGCTCCACAAGCTGCACTGGTTGCCAGTTTGCTTCCGGGTCCAATTCGAGGTGCTGATTTTGACCTTTAAAGCCCTTCATGGCATGGGGCTGGGTTACCTGAGGGACCACCTCTCTCCGATCACATCTGCCCATCCCATCAGGCCTGGCAGAGAAGGCGTGCTGCCAATCCCGTCTGCTAGAGAATTACATTTGGTGGTTCCCAGGAGGTGGGCCTTCTCTGTTGTGGTATTCACCTTGTGGAATCTTCTTCCCCTGGAAGTGAGATTAGCTCCATCCCTCTTAACATTCTGCAAGTCCCTCAAGACCTGGCTATGAGATCAGGCATGGGGGTCCCAGGAGACCGGGGAGATTTTGCGATGGCTCCCTTATTAATTTTATCCCCTTCTGTTTTGTGTGCTTTTATAGTTTTTTATTTGTAATTGTTGTTATGTATTTATTCTTTTTAATTGTTATACACCGCCCAGAGTCACTTTGCGTGAGATGGGTGACTATATAAATACGATAAATAAAATAATAAATAAAATTATTGTTTTAGATATAAAAACTACATGGTGATTTGATTAATCCCTAAAACATCCTATTCTTTTCCTTTTCTAACTGTTCATATACATGTTGAGAACCTTTCTTACTGTATTTTGCCAATATATTCTTGATTTCTGTATTTAATTTATTTGCAAATGGTGAAAAATTATTTTCAATTATCTGGCTTATGTATTCACCTCATATTACTACTTTCAGAGCCTCCTATCTTACTGTCAGTATATTACCAAATATATTTGCTTTGCATAATTTTCTTTAAAAATTGTTAAAACCTAAAATAAATTTTGTTTTGCTGCTTGATTAAAAGTTAATATAGGATTAAAATGACAAAAATAAGTGTAGGTTATATTATTATCTAATTTTAACTCTAGATCACTGGTCACTGGAGAATCATAGCTCCCCATGAAAAGATTAAACCCTGAACCTGCATAATTTTCTATAGGCTTCTGTAACAATGATTTTTGTGTTTTACATTTTTGCATATCCATTTTTGCCCAGACTGTGCCTACATTTATGTTTAAATTTCCTCCCAGCATCAAGTTCTCTATGCCAAATCCATTTAAACATTGTATTGCTTTCTGGAGGAATCTTATTTGTTCTAGAGCCATTGTTAATATTTTGTCCAATTTCCTTTACTAAATGTTTAAGATTTTAAAATTTATCTATAGTAATGCTACAGGAAATACAACCAATGGAATAAAGGATAAATATTTTAGAAAACAACATTTTGCTGGAGGGAATAAATAAATAAAGGTGTGGCAATCTTAATTGAAGCTAATTTGAGTTTTATATTCAAAAATGCAAATGGATAGAGATGGGAGATTTATTTTTATAACCCATTCATTACTCACCCGTTTCACAGAAATTTCCATCTCAGTGATGGGGACTGGTACCTGGAGGGACAAGAAGACATGGCAACTCAGCTAAACTATGTCACCAAAATGACCCTCAACCCTATCCTACAGTTCCACATTTATAGAAGGTCATTCATCTCCCAGCTATTTTTTCACAAAAACAAACGTGTGCACACAAATGCAATTGGATAAATCGCTTGTTCAAAATTACACTTTCAGTAAACCTGAAAATTAGGGCCAATAGAGATATACAACCATTCCCCTTCCTGGATTACTCAATATTTATAACTGAGTATGCTTTCTATGGACTTTTTCTCTTTTATCCTGAGAAAAACTGGATCAAATGGAGTGGCAGATTTTGGACTTAAGAGTTTGAAGTACAAAATCCAACAAGCAAGCTTTTTAGGCTATCTATTTTTTTGTGTTCAGGATAACTATCTTCAAAAACACCTTGCAAACTTAGAATTATGTAGCTAAGTAGTAATTGGGCACAAAAGTGGTCCACTAAAAGCTATTAATACACACATGCACATTGATATTGCAAGTATTTGCCAGAGGAATACATGTAAGTGCTATGCAAGAACATAGAGAATACCAAGCAATGTGCAGTGCAGTCAAAATTACCCAGCCAGGATTGCTCTTTTGCTGTTCTGTACATATGAGGCCCACACATGTACTGCTTTTTTACTGTACCTTAAACGCTTGAAGCTCTTCCAAAACAACTTCTTCAACAGCAGCAAGGTTTCCTCTCTGTAGAGCTATGACCTTCAGTATGGAGCCAGCCTCTAAAAGGCAGGAAGGAGAAAAAGAGCACTGAAATAAGACCATCTCTGTGGTTGCCTAGAATCCTGGCAAAGCTCACTGGGAACTTTTTCAAAATCTACTCTTGAAAAGCAAGCGGCCTAGAATTTGACTCCTAGTTTTACGCTACCAGATGTATATGTTTTAGGGCATCTCCTCTCCATCCCTGAATCATCTTTATTCTTTCTGTCTTTGAATCTTTTAGATTTCAAAGCTATTGGGAAAAATGCTAATTTAAAAAGAAACTATTTTTCAATAAACAAATGCTTGCTCAACTTTCCACCTTAAAATAATGAAGTGGCAATTTAACTAGCTAATTTTTTTCTCATTCTCAGACCTTGACTTGGAAAGCACTCCTTGTAGTTAGCCAAGCTATTGGTTTTCTCACCGTTGAATGCCCTATATTTCAACACGCAACAAGAAAAAGGACACAATTTCTAAGAAAGGAGCAATAACGGGAGACAAATTTGAACATGCCTCCCACACAAAACTGTAATTGGGGACCCCCCCGCAAAGAAGTACTTTCCATGATTTGAAGACAGGCTTGTCACTCACTCAAGTCCATCCCTCTCCTTCACCATTTCTCTCTTCCTGGATAAATAAAAGCTGAAAATATTGTATTTTGCAGTTACTGAAGCAAACTTCCTGTAGTGCATAAACATGCCAAATCATTCACAGAGCCTCATGATCGTCAAAGTTCAGTTCTGACTGCTTCACATCCTGCCACGTTGGTCCAAAGTGGTTCATTTTTACTCAGAATTCAGCCACATATGATGCACAGGCCTAGTTTCAAAGTATAGGAAAGTTTGGTTTGACCCAGGGCTTATCAGCATTTAACCCAGGAACCTTTTCAACGTCAGGGTGTAGTCTGAAGATCTGAAAATTCAGATTACCTTTAAGCTCACAAATTCTCCTACATAATGACAAATATACATATATATATGCAGTTTGGAAGAGAGATGCTTAGGCACTGCGGAACCCCAATACATCTCATGATCAACACTGCACCTGTGCCAATGAACATGACATCATAATGCCCGTCCTCAGCTTCCACGCGGTCCACCACTATCTGCCGTAGGCGATGCTGCAGGTTGGTTTTCACCAGCACAGGCCGGCGGTGTAGTGGATATACAGATTTGCTCATCAGTGGATGAGCGCGTGCAAAGTGCAGTACCTCATCTGGGTAGTCTTTGGTGGAGGAGTACTGACGACTTGGTTGGTTGGTGGTTTTGCTGGGGCACTAGAACAGTGGAGGAAGGACACAATTTCAGCAAGTAGCTCTGTTCATGCTACCTATTTATCAGGAACCAAAGCCAGCTCTTGCCCCCAATTCATTGCATTCTTTTGTTCTCTCCATGCCTGCAAAACCTATTCCAGAAGTTGAGGAAATTGTTTTTTCCCATTTCCACTGACATAAATTGTTCTGGCAGCTTTAGATAATCACCCAATGCATTATTTTCCATGTTATTTTTTAATTATTTTGTTTTATGGCAAATTGCTCTAATGTGATAAATATACACTGTTCTTTTTTTTTTCCAGGAAAATCCTCCTCCTCCTCCTCCTCCTCCTCCTCCTCCTCCTCCTCC